GGTGCAGAACAGCTACGCCGCTGAAGTGCCGAATGGGGCCTCAACGACGACGGCGTGAAGAGCCAGCCGAAAGCATTGGGGGCCGAACTCCGTATTCAAGCTTCGATGCGACGCGCCATCAGTCGCGAGGGTCGAAACGGTGCTCCCGCAGGGGTCGCGCATGCCGTGGAGGAAGATCTCAGAGTGCATGGCGTTCCCGTTGTTTTCTACAGACTAGTGGCCGAAGCCTGTTCGCTTGCAGCGCATTTACTTTTGCGATGGCCCCCCCCCCCCCCCCGATTCAGCGACTACGCGGGCAGATATCCAGCCATGCCCCTTTGCCTTGGAGGGCCAGGTCTCGACGAGCCCGGGGCCGCAGGCAAGGAAGGGGAACGCCGCGTCCGTGAGATCCCCCCGGGGGCCATTGCCCAGGCCGCGGCTGCAGCCAAGGGCAACGGGACTTTCAAGACCTGGCGGCGGGTGGGCGGCTCGGTGGGCTACCATCGGCCAACCGCCACAAAGGTCGACAGCGGTCGGCGGGGCGGCCGCTGTCCTGCCAGAGGAACAACGGCATATGGCGGCCAAGTCCTGGACCAGAGGCGTCGCGGCTCGAATCCCTGAAGCGAGAATGACCCCACTCATCGAGGGGTTCATGGTGGAGGAATTTGGCATGGACGTCATTGCCGCGATGACCGTTCTATCCGAAGCTGCGGACCTTCTCGCAGGAAATGCCTCCGTCGTCTTCGGACCCGCCCGCGATCGCCAGCATGTGCGCCGCGCATCTTTTGGGGGGGGCTCGCCCCGAAGGCGCGCGCGGCGCTGCAGTGCGTCGTCCGAGTGCATTTGCAGATCGACTACGTCATGGCCGTCAGGCTGGCTAGAACGGATCACTCTACACAGACCTACGGGGGGGCGTGCCAGAATGCAAGTGTCTGGTGCAATGTCTTCGTCCAGCCTCGCTTCCAGTTTGACGCGTCCGCCGACGCCCCTCCGGACAGATCCGCGCAGTGCCTGATTGCAACTAGACGCGTCCACTCGTTCGACGAGGGCCCCGCTCGATTTGCAGGCCTTGCGGGTGGACCTCGAGATGGCGGTGGCTGCGGAATCCCTAACCTCCCGTAGACCCTAATGGAACTCGGACGTGGAGACGGCAGTCTATCTACCATTGACGAGGGGGATGACAAACATGAGGATGACGCCGTGATCGTCCAGGACTGGTACCATGCAGTTTCGGATGCCGAACACCAGTAAGTGGATCCGTGCTGAAGAATGTCGTGCCTTTTTCCTTCCCCACCAGCGACGCGCTATAATCCTGCGAACGCGAGGGCGCCATGTTGAAATTTGCAAAGGGGCGTCCTGTTTTCCAACTGACGTTCTGGTGCCCCTGCGATGCTGACGACAACGACGACCTCGACTCCGACGAGCCCGGTCGGTCCACCGGGCACTGGTAATCGGGATCCAATATCCCCGACGAGTTGGCTATCATTCGCGTCCACGTCTCAGCCGGTTTTAAGCAACCCGAAGCAGGTATCATCGGCATTCTTGGCGGAACTCAAGATGACGCTGGACGACCGACCAGGAGGCGTCGTCCAAGGCCCGGAACGTCGCGGCCCCGCGGCTCGCGTGCCCATGGAAGTTCGTGAAAACAGATTCTGGGGTAGTTGGAAATAGTACACGATTCCGCCTTGTAGTTCCTGGTCTCAGCATCCGAGGAGGCATCCTAGAACGGCACGACGCGCTTCCAACGCTTGTTGGCGCGGCAGCATGTCGGCCGGGATTGGGCCCGGGGCCAGCATCGACTTAGATAAGGCTTTCCTGACAGGCCTTGCATTCAGAGCAGCGGCCGAAGCCCCGAGCGAGCTGGGGCGCATCGTATTTTTCATTATTTGTTCCTGGCCGTGCTGCTGTCCCATGTACATTTGCCGGCCTCCGGAGCCGCGGCGAGTTGCGCCCCCGTCGGCCCGGCGCCGGTGCCGAAGGCGCGCCTCGAGCCTTCTTGCATTCGTCTCGGGGGACCACGGAGACAATCGGTCTCGAAGCCACGTTGCATGAGCGGGAGTTTCAGGCCACCGTGGACGCGCCGTCAGGCAATCTTGTTGACGACATCAACACGCAAGGCAAGGGGCCCAGCGTGGACGCGTCCGTCCGACAAGTCGCGGAGGCATTTGGCAAGTGCAGGCTGAGCGCGCATGCCTTCGCGTTGCGCAGCGGGATGCACCGAGGCAGAAAAATATGATATCTTGGACCAGGGCGAGTGCGTCAAATCATGTTTGCCCGATCGCACATCGGGATCGTGCAGGTGCTTCCCCAGAAACGCAGATGTGCAGCTCGCGGGGTGCCCTTGCGCGTTCCATGCGCACCCGCGTCTGGATGCTTGCGCATTTTGTTTCTTTGCGGCGCATCCACGAAGTGGCGAACACACAGGCGAGACGATTGAATGCCCTTGCCCGCAATGTGTTGCAGGGACCTAAGAACGCGATCTTCCGCGCCAAGACCCCTGCTGGCACCGTAGACTGGCGCGGCGACTCCGGTTATCGCTAGCTCACCAGTGAAGCGGCTTTCGTGGATGCTATCTGCTGCGTCGTGGAAGCATGAGCAGTAAAGAGGAGGTCGTGCACTGTGTCGACAGCCTCTGCAATTCCTATCATTTTCACGTCAGGTCCGGCTAAGCAGCCGAAGCACTTGCTGCCGGTCACGGTCTGGAGTTAATGCTAATGCTGCCCTGGTAACGCTACATGAGCTCATCGAAGGGGCCCTGAGTTCGTCCGAGCTTGAGCGCCTGGGTGATTACGGTGAGTTTTGCATGTAAGTGTCCCTCGCGACTGGCGTGGGATCAGCATGCAAGTCTCTTTCCAGCAAAGATGTCGAAGCCTTTTCGGATAATGCTTTCCTTGGGCAGATCAGCTGGAAAAGAGAAGTCTTATTTTTCGGTGTCATCAGCGACGCGCAGTGGTGCGACGCCCGCGACGCGGCGGCGGGTCGGGTCGCCGCGCCAGGTTCACCACTATCGGTCGCGACCTGCTGCAAGTCACGGCCGATTGCCAAAGCTACGCGCGCGAAATCACATCGCGCGCGCCGCGTCGAGCAACGCGCCTCCCATTTTCGATGTTGTTCACGCCTCATAATACAGCCCAGAGGTCTGTTCGATCATTCAGCTGCAGCCGTTGTGAGCATGAAAAGGGGGGTCCTCCTTCTGGCCCCGCGCAAAGTTTCCGTGGACCCGCGACTGCTCAGATGCGACCGCGCATCTGCGTTTTTTTTGCAATTTGGTGCCGTGGATTCGTGGCCGCATTATTGCGCCAGGTTGTCGCGGAATCGCGACCTCGCTTAATGTCCTCCTGCGCTTGGGTTTTGAAGAGGACCCCCTGGTCTGTCTTGCCCAAAGTACAATATGCAGTTTGTCTCTGCCCATCGCACTTTGGTGCCAGTTTGCCTGGCCCATGGAAGCTTGACTTAACTTCGCGCGCCCTCGTTCTTATGCGCTGCGCCGGTGGTTGAAACTTTCGACAACCGATACCTGTTACTTTCGCAAACGCTGTGTTGAGCCTCTACAGAAAAGGTGGCGACGGTCGAATTTCGCTTCGCTCCCCTCGTCGACTATGAGGGAATGCCCCGAGCAAGGCATTCATGCAGTACGTTGTTCGTCCGCCGCCGCCTTGAGTCAAGGCGGCGCCGCCCTTTCTGCCTTTCTGCCTTTTTCAGGCGCTGGGTCGGAGAAAGTCCCTTCTCCGATCCCATCGCCGCAACCATCGTATTTCAAAATCGGTAAAAGATTTATCCCCGCGGAGGGGCGATTGCCGTTCAAACCCGTTCAAACAGGTCCAGCCGTGGCGACGAGCAAGCCCAGGAGGGCCAACCACGTTCGAATTGCGTCGATTGTCGATTTCTTCGACCCTCCGCCGGCATCGCCCAACACATTTACGCTTGGCGTGCGCAGGTCCTCCCCCCAGGGGTGACGCGCGCGACCAGGACTGTCATAGTGTATGCTAGGTGGCGGTGTTTTCAGGGCATACCGCCTGGGCATATACATGTTGATTTAATTATATCATTTGATTTATCATACGTTCGATTCGGACGTTCGATTCCAGAGGGGGTACACATAGCTTGGATGTCATGTTGCGCCCCGCTCATCTTCTTCCTCCTCAGGCGGTGAAGGCGAAGACAGGCAGGACGACGCCGACGGCGGCGGCGGCCGGCGGTGGCGACCCTCTTCGCCATACTCTAGGCATCGAGGCTCGCAACGCTCGTGCGGAAAATGCAAAGATCTGAAGCGACTCGGGCGCGCGGTGGCCTGCAGATGCGACCAACGTGTGCGCAGCCTCCTCCTTGCTCCTCCTCCCCCTCAGCGGTGACGCTGGCGGCAGTGGCGGCGGCGGCCGGCGGCGGCGGCCGCTGGACGGCGGCGAGGCCGCGGGCGGCCCACTGCATGGAGTTCTCGGCAAGGCGCTGTCTTCGACCCCTTTCGTCGCCTTCCAGATCGTGCATACCTTCGACCCTCCTCCTCCTCCTCCTCCTCCTCCTCCCTCCTCCTCCTCCTCCTCCTCCTCCCCCTCTTGCAGCGGTTTGTTTATTCCCCCTGACGCTGACGCTGTTGGCGCGATATTCCCAAAGGATGCTGCCCTCCTCCTCCTTTTACTCCTTCATTCTCCTCCGTTCGCCTCGTCTGGATTCCTCCTCCTCCTTCTTTCTCCTTTTCCTCCTCCTCCTCCTCCTCCTCCCTTTTCCTCCTCCCCCTCTTTCTCCTCCTCCTCCTGTTTCTTCTCCTCTCCTCCTCCTCTTGTTATTCATCCTCGTCTTCTCCTTCTTCCTCCTCCTTCTCCTGTCCCTCCTCTTCCTCTTTGTTCTTTCCCCATTTCCCCTCGTCCTCCTTCTCCCCCTTCCCCCTCCTCTTCCTCGCCCTTCTCTCCGGCAGCGGCAAGGCCGTGGGGGTCGGGACGACGCCGGCGCCGGCGGCGGCCAGCGGCGGCGGCGGCCGCTGGACGGCGGCGGTGTGCCGCCGCGGGCGGCCGCGGTCGGGAGAGGCCGCGGGCGGCCGGCTGGAGCTGTGGCGGGGCGAGCGGCAGGCGCGGCGGCTCTTCGAGGGCCGGGTGCTGCCGCTGCTGCGCGGGCTCGGCGCGGGGTGGTGGCCGGACCTCCTCGCGCGCGGGGCGCACGTGGCCAACTCCAGAGTTGAGTCGGGCCTGTCTCCCTACAGGGGGATTTTGGATGAAAATTAAAGAATACCCCCAAAATATTCAAAACGGCAAAAAATGCTCAAACAATAGTCCACGGACTATTGTTGGACCATTTTTGAATTATTTTTGGGGTATTTTTTTTTCTCGTCCAAAAACCCCCTGTGGGGGACAGGCCCGACTTAACTCCAGAGTCGTTTCGGCCCCTCCGGCCTTCCCCTCTTCTGTCCGCGCCCCTGTCTGCTTCGCTGCGTCCCACCGTTGCCCCACCTCTGCTTGGATCGAAGTGGCCGCCGCCAAAATTTGTCCAACTCTAGGCCTTCCAGCTGGGGTCGGAGTAGATGGGGTCGCTGGATCGTGCCACCGCTGATGTATCGGCAATGCGGCTCGATGTGGGGCCCGATTTTCTCCACGCCGACGTCGCCGATGCATCGTTGACTTCGCCGATGCAATGGGAAGTTGCGCAATCCTTCGACCCCATCCACTCGGCTCCAATTTGGGACGCCTCTATTTCGAGAGGGACTGTGGATTCAGGGCAGGGCGGAGCCACTTGCCTCGCTCGTGGGGGCCCCCTGCAACAGTATATCAGAGCCCAGGATAGGGCGCGTGGTAAAGGGGGGTGACCTAGATTTATGTCGGCCCTGTCCCCCTACAGGGGGAATATTCGAGAATAGTTTAGAACTGGTCGGGTGATTATTTTTCGAGTATGTTTGAGCATCGTTTGGGTAAATGTTGGCTATGTTTTATCTTTCGGCCACAATCCGCCTGTAGGGGGACACGTCCGACCTACACCTGGATGGGGGGTGAAGAAGCGTCCCCTAGAGAGGCCCTCTGGGGCCGCCTGCGGAGCCAGCAGGGGCCCTCGCCCCCCCCTTGGGGCCCCCGCCCCTTCGCCACCACCCCGAGGGTCCGGCAGCGAGGCCTCCCGCTGCCGGGGAGTCCCATTCCAGCGCCCGCCGCTGGGAGCGCGAGCGGATTACCAGGATTGCCGCCCTGACAGATGCCAATGCAGTCAACCCGCACAGTAAGGATGGGCAACCTTCCCAAGGGTACCCTTACATCCTTGCCTCCTCGGCCCATCCTATCCTTGGCCACTTTCGCTGGCCGCGCCCCGCTCGGAAAGCTTCGAAATGGGCGTCCAAGGCCCTTGCATCCTCATCGCGCATCCGTACTGTGCGGGTTGACTGTATCCACTTCCGCACCCCAGTCAAATCTTGGGGAAGAGATCGCGCGAGATTCGATCGCGATATTGTTCTCGACGGCTCTTGGGGAGTGGAAAGTGGCTCGCACGGCGCCCCGAGGGGCCAGGGGGGGGGAGAGGGCAGCGGAGGCTCTCCGGCATGCGGCGGGCGTGGCCGAGATGGGGGCTTTCGGAGCACGAGCAGGCCCCTCCCGGGGCCTGCTCGAGGGCACGGCCGGGTCGGCACGGATACGGTCGGCTCGGGAGCCTCGAGACGGGGGTCAAGGCAAGCGGGGGTCCGCCAGAGCGCCCGATCCTGCAGGATCCTGCAGGACCCTTCGTCCTGACCCGGGTCTGGGTGCAGGATCCTGCAGGATCTCGCAGGCTTCTGCAAGGCCTGACTGACCCTGGTCTGGATTGACCCGGGTCAGAGGATCCCCGATCGGCCCGGATTAGTAGGTCGACCCTGGCAGCTCAAGGGTACCCTTGTGTCCTGTGCCTCGCGGCACGTGCCTTCTTACACTCCTATGGCGATGTGGCCCTCGGAAGGGTCTTGTGTCCTCTCGCGTGTCCTGTCCAATCAAGGCCGACTGTATCCTGATCAGGGCCGACGATGCTTCCTCGATCCCTGCCTCCATGAGCCGTTGGACGGCCCCCAGGACTCGGAACAAAGAGGCGACCCAGAACAACGCAACTGGCCTCCGAGAAGGGTCGACAGCCCTGGTCGGCGACTCGTCGCCGACAGGGGGCCCATCACAGAGAGGGGGGCCCACACTACACACTCACGCCTGATCAGGGCGCGCCCCAGGAGAGGTCCAGGGATCGGTCCAGGGATCGGGTTGGAGGTCCCGGGTCATGGTCGATGGCGACGAGGTCGTCGTTCAAGGCTTTGGATGTTCTCGTCGGTTGCTGGAGGCTTCCCAGCGTGGGGATGCTTTCCTGCAGCTGCGGCTTTCTGAGGGTGGCCTTTTCGAGACGGTGCCGTTATCTCACCAGCCCATCTAGAGAGGACGCCCAGCCGAGTTGCCCTCACCAGAGATGTGGGGGGAGCATGCAGTGGACTGACGACTAAAAGGCTGGGTAAGACGTCATACCCCAAGACATGGAGGATGGAGGAGGAATCGGAGGAGGAGCAGGAGGAGGAGGAGGAGGAGGAGGAGGAGGGGGAGGAGGAGGAGGAGGAGGAGTAGGGAGTTCGACAGGAGGAAGAGGGAGTAGGTGGAGGAGGATGATGAGGAGGAATCGGCGTATGAGGAAGAGGAAAAGGAAATTGAGGAGGAGGAGGAGGAAAAAGAAAAGGAGGAGGAGGATGGGGAGGAGGAGGAGGAGGAGGAGGAGGAGGAGGAGGAGGAGGAGGAGGAGCTGCTCACGGCTGCTGGACACTTAGAATTTAGAGCATGAGTCCACGCGCTCGAATGAGAATGCTCACCGCTGGAGGCTACTACAATGAGGCTACGCTATACATATTGGAGAAGAAGCACATTAATCATAAGACAACTAATAGTAATAATCAGACTAATAATGCGGATAATAATACAACTAAGAAACTGAATACTACGAATCATAATGATACTTAGAAATCGGATAATAATAAGTGAGCGTGCAAAATAGGCCTCAGAAGCGTCCCCTGAATCTTCGAGAGATTTGGGGCCCAGCAGATCAGGCTGCTCGGGATGCGCAGGAACCGAGGCGGGGCCCCGCCAGCGAGGGGACCGAACGAGGACCGAGTGACGAAGCCGACGAGAGACCGGGGGCCGCGAACGAGAGGCGAGTCGGGAGCCTCGAGACGGGGGTCAATGCAAGCGGGGGTCAGCCAGATCGCCCGATCTTGCAGGATCCTGCAGGGCCAGGGTCGCACTGACCAGGGTTTGGGTACAGGATCCTGCAGGATCTCGCAGGATCCTTCGCACTGACCCGGGTTTGGGTGCAGGATCTTGCAGGCTCTCGCAGGTTTCTGCAAGGCCTGACTGACCCGGGTCTGCGGGTCAGAAGATCCCCGAGCGAGGAGGGAGGCGAACGAGAATGAGCGGGCCCAAACTGTCGGGACACAGAAACACCATGAGATCGTTTTCTGATTCCTTGTTTTGCCGATCGGCGCGGGCCCTTCTTTCCCCCCCCATGGATTGGTTCTTGGCTGTTTTGGGCGCCAGTTTCGAGCAGGTGGATTCTCCCCCATAATGGACGCACTGTCGCAGACAGTTGCATCGAGCAGAGGTCCGGAGCCACCCCCCCCTCCCCCCCCCTCCTTCCGCCCAATGTCGAAACGCCGACTAAGAAAACGCTCACTATGCCTGCCGTCCACACCCTGGGTGCTACTGTTTCGCCAGGTGCCCAGGGCTGCGCTCCCCGAAGCTCGATGGCCTCAGGCGCAGTGCATGCGCACACGTTTAAAGCAACCTTCACTCACTCAATGGCTATCGGAGGATAACGAGATGACGCCTTCATTTCCATCGAACCTCAAGGTTGGAAAGGCGCCCAATGGCTCGGGGTCAGGGCTCGGCGGTAGCCTTGGCCCTTCAGCACGTCGATCCATGCCGAGATCCACCCCTCGAGATATCCCGAAGGCGCAGTCCCCTGGGTGACGGTGGCCCCACACCGCCCTGAAGCGCTCCAGGATCACCCGTTCTTTGTTCACCTCGTCCAGCGCCAACACGATCCTGATTGGGTCCTCGTCCTTGCAGCTCTCCAGGCGGTGCAGCCGCACACATATATCGGCGGATCTTCCACGAACTCCACCTTGGTGGCTTCCTGGAGCTGGCTGTTCAGCTTGCCGATCTGTTGGCCCAGCAGGCTCTCCACCGTGGCAGCGAGGACGGCTGGACCTGGCTGCCCGAGACTCCGAAGCTCCTGGAGGACACGCTCCGGCTGCTGCCGCTGCCTCCCTCTCCGCTGCCGCGTCGCTGCCCTTCGCCTTCTTGGCGTCTTCCCTTCAGCTTCACGACCTGGGCCCGGCGCCCAGCGGCGTGGGCGGCGAAGTCCTTCAACTCCTGCTGCGTTGCCTCCACGGCCGCCCCCTTTCCCTCCGTGAGCACAGTGCGCGCAATTATTCCCCACACGGGTAGAGATTTTGCGTTATCTGGGCCACCTCCATGGACAGCAGCAGCAGCACGCGGACGGGAGCACGCGGAGCACGCGGCGCACTGAGAGGCATTCTTTGCGATATGATTCCGCTGGTTGATCGTCCTCTGCAGAGTCGCAAGCAGCAGCTCTTTGAGGCCCTGGTCCCTCGTCGCGAGCGCCCGTTCCTTCGCCTCGGCGCGGAGAAGACGGCCTCCTCGGCGGATTCCAAGCTTTGCCGCAGCTCCCTCCGATCTCGCTGCGCCACGCGCGGCTCCCTGGCCGACCTCGCCCTTCGACTCCTTGGCTCCGTCCCACTTGGAGTCTCTCCCGGCAGGCCCCGAGGCAGCCGAGGACCCCCCCCTCCCTGCCTGGCCGCCAGCGGCCGCTTTTCTCGATGCCGCACTGGTCGCATTCGGAGCCCTGGGGGTGACGAGGCTGGCGGCCGTGCGGGTCCCGCTCCCGTCGAGCCGATGAGCGGGGGCATGCAGAGCAGCAGCAGCGCGGCGCCGAGGCCTCTCGATCGCGGGCTTTTTGGCCGCCTTGCGGTTGTTGATGTGGGTGTCCCTCCTGCGTAGGAGGCAGGATCGAGCGCAGACGGCGGCGGAGGCGCTAGTGGGCGGCGAGTGCGCCATTGAACAGCGCGCGCAAGTGCGTGTTGAACTGCTTGAACGTGTACGGGTCCGCTGTGCTGTGGTTGATGCACCGCCTTGCGTGCCATGATCTCGCCAAGTGCCGAACCGCCACTCCTTGCTCAGACCTATCGAGGTGCATTTGATTATCGCGCTGCTGGGCGTGATTCGGTTGAGCGTGCTCAGCTCCTCATTCCCAGGCTATCGTGAATGGCATACATGTGCTGCAAGAGCGCCACGCGTGCGAAACTGTTACTTACGCATCGGTCCATCTGGCTCTGGTCGGATCGCACATGCGAAGACTTCGACATATGTTGCTGCCCAGGCCGCCCCATCATCTTGACCGGCTGGCACAGTCTCTGCCAGGCCATTCGGGTGGCGCCCATTGCACTGCAAAAAAGGCAATGCGAAGCAACCGCGGGTCAAGCGATGCGAAGGGGTGGCTAAACTCCTTGTCCCACAGACGGTCCAGCAGCGTGCCATACATCCACGCCGGTGCGCAAGACTCCGCCTCGGGGCAGCTGCGCATGACCTCGAGGTCTCGGCGCAGCTGGCGCGCCCAAGGATGCCGTCGTCCAGCAGCGTAGACGAGCGGTGGTATTCGCTCGTCGCCTCCCGCTGCATATCGCCGAAAGGATGGACAGAAGATGGGCGTGGTTGCGTGGCGAACGTGCCACTGCTTGCCAAGCTCGCAATCATTGAACCGTGGTCGCGGCAGCGAAGGGAACAAGTTTCCATTGCTATACACCTCACGCGTAGCCATTACCTGCACCTGGCCAGCGCCATTCCGAGCCGTACCTCCAATCATGTAGCTTACAGGCCAGCGCACCATGCAACTGCTTGGTCTCCCATGTCCGCCCAGCAGACGGCGACCGCGCCCGACGAGGCCGCGCCGCTGACCAGGGAGATGACCGCTGGCCTCTCAGCACGCGCTGGCGAACACGAGTGCCAGAAGCCCCGCGCCGTCGCCCACCCCTTCTTGCTCGGCTGGACCCTAGGCTTGAGCTCATTGTTGCTGCTGTTCGCTGCATCAAGCCAGGCCCCCTGGTGTTGGAGCCCGAGCCCACTTCGGATCCCCCATGCGTCGGGGTCCGATTGGGCGAGCCTGGAGCTGAGATCTGGAGGTGCTGCCCCATGCCCAGCGGCCCGCCCGCTGGACGCGTTCCTCACCGAGGCTCGCCGTGCCGCGAGTTTCGAGTATTTGGGATCACCCCATATCCTCGAATTGATTCTGCTCGTTCCAGTTTCTCAGCGAGATTCGGTGACTTCTGAGAGATCGGCACCTCAGGTGGCAGTCCAGTTCGGTCCTCCTCCGCCCTCCGTGAACCTCTGAATCGTCCGACGAACCAGCCCGCGCCGCGGGATGGCGGGGGCGACGTCCTGCTCGGCGCGGGTCTGGCCGTGGGCCCTCGCCGCCGTCGCCGGGTCCAGGCTGGCGCCGCTTCGCCCCGGCTGGGCCAGAACCCGCAGAGGTCAGGAGAAAAGCACACAAACATAATTCATCGTCGATCCCTCAGAAAATATGGCAAAATATGGGAAGTGGGGGGGAAGACAAAAACCAAGGAAATATTGGATAATCTAGGGAATATTGCTGTTTGTGTCTATTTATTTGTGTGTCCCAGGGCCCCTTCAGATGGAGCCTCGGCGTGCTGGACGCTCTGCGTCTTGCAGATGTCGTCAGGGATCAGGTCGGGCTCGTTGTCCCCTTACAGGCGGATTTTTGACGAACAAGGATGAGCAATAGTCAACACATATTCAAACTAACCAACAACAATGGAAAAGCTGTCCCCAGACTATTTCTGGACTGTTTTTGAATATTCCTCCTGTAGGGGGACACGCCCGGCTCAAGTCAAGGACCGATGGTATTTTGATGAGCATCGCACCGTCGGTCGAGGTTCGCTCCACCAGGGCCCACTTCTGGGGCGCGAGGTGGCAGTTCTGCGTGGAAATCTCTGGCTCAGGCGCGTCGGCCCCGAAGGCCATCTGACCCGCTGCGGACGGCCACCTCTCCATCCATTGTTGGCGCTATCACCGTCAGGGCCAGGCGGCGCTGCAGCGAGATGTCCGCATCCGCCCGCTGGGCTGGGTTGGGCGCGCCCCCGCCTCCCCCGCTGTGAATTGCCAGAAACTCTTTCGCGGTCGAGCGGAGGAGGAGGAGGAGGAGGAGGAGGAGGAGGAGGAGGAGGAGGAGGAGGAGGAGGAGGAGGAGGAGTAGAGGCCGCTGGGTCGTCGCGGGGGGCGCTTCGCAATGGCATCCGCCCGCACGGCAGGAATTTTCCTGCGGGCGCGCGCTCCCGCCTCCAACGCTGTGAAATGCTGGGGGCGAGACCGGCCCCCGGGGGGCCCTCGACGTGGGAGCTGGCTGTCGGGGGAAGGGCCACCTGGAGCTTGGCGACAGCTCAGGAGGGGGAAAAACACACAGACTCAATTAATCGGCGATCCCCAGAAAATATGGGAAAATATAGGAAGTGGGGGGGAAGACAGAAGCCCAGAGAATATAGGAAAATATGGGGGATATTCTTATTTGTGTGTATTTATTTGTGTGTCCCAGTTCCCCTTCAACAGCGGACAACGGGGACATGGTCCAGCACCGCGGGGACAGCTCTCGTCATCTCTCCCGTCGGCCGCCACGGGTGTGCACCCACTCCGCTAGGGCGCTCGCACTCTGAGGGGGGGGCGAACGTAGTCGATCTGCGACGAAGCACGAAGCCCCCTGCATGCAGAAGTAGGTGTGGCCGACCTGGCGGGTCGTGCTCAGCGCCATCATCGTGGAGCATGCTACCCAATTGTGTGCCAGTTTGCCCGCGTAGCACTCGGTCTACGCGCCGTGGGGGGCCGACGACGGGATCCTCGTCGGAGTGAGGGGTGAGATCCAAGTTGCGATCCATCAGCAGCACGGGTGTGGAATCGTTACGGGACTCTCATCAGCTCGTCCTTTGCCTATGCCACCGGCGCCCTGCATGTGTCTCGCCATACCGCCGCCTCGCCCTGCACCGACGGCCGAGGAGGAACATAGAGAATGAAGACCGCAATCACGAGCGGCCCCCTCGGGCCCGCAGGAGCGGCGGGGGTGGGCATCGGCCACCGTGGCGGGGCGAGCGCGACCTACGATGCCGACCCCGACTGGCCAGGGCAAACGGTACGAACGGCTACGTGCGATCGCGCGCGCCACGCGCGTGCTAAACCACAACTTAAGGCAATCCCACCAGCCCTCTGGGGGTAGGCGGTCTAGGGCTGCCGGGCGGGCACCGGTTTCCTGAAATCGCTCGCGTCGATGAAGCGCTTCGGCGGGAGGAGGGCGCAGCCGCGGCTCCTGTACACCATCCTCGCCACCTCCCAGCCGGGGTGCGCGACGTGGTGGTGCGCCGTCGTCGTCTTGTGATGAGCTTCCCGCCACCACTGCCGCACACAGGTGCCTTGGAGGCGCGTGATGCCGACCCCTTTCAGCGCCGCCGAGACCGCGTCCAACCGCGCCGCTCTGACGAGGTTCTGCGGGTTCCACACCGACACGAAAGAGAACCACGCCTCTGCCCCCCGCCCGCAGCTCTCCAGCAGCAGCAGCGTCTGGGCAACAACGCCTGCCCCAGCGGAGGGGGGGACAGTGGCACCCATCACCGCCTCGCGGGCTCGGCTGCCCCCATCACGGTCCGAGGTCTGTGGGGAAGATTCCGCGACAAGGGGGTTTGCGCGAGGGCGGAGCCTGAGGAGGAGGAGGAGGAGGGGGAGGAGGGAGAGCAAAAAGGCAAGAGGCATCTTGGATGCTTTTCGGAGTCTCTTCGGATGTCTTTCGAGAGCTTCTTGGAGGCCTCTAGGGGCGTCTTTGGGGCCTCTTGGCGGCCCCCAGGGCCTCTTAGGGTATCTTGAGTGCCTCCTTGGGGCCTCTTGGGGTCTCTTGGGGCCGTCTTGGGGCACCCTTGGGAGCCTCGGTGGCCATCTCGGGTCCATCTTGGAGGAGGTCGATCAAATGATGTACCGTAGTACATTAGGGTCCCCCTGAGGAGGCCAAAACGTGGCTAACATCTGGGGTGTAATCAGTGATTTTGGCAGTCTCGTCGACGCCGTCTTGGATGCTCCCACTACCCGCGAAACGCCCCGTCCAGGTCCAGGGGGGGTAGGCGGAAGGTAGTTAAACCCTTCCCCGACGGGGAAGAGCGAAGATGCACGAGGAAACGCCCTAAACCACTCACGCCCGTAGGGCCGGTGGGATTCATAAAAGGGGTTATGGCCCAAGTATAAGTAGTTTGGGCGGTGGTTAGGTGATGTTGCTTCGCTTCGCCATAGGTCCATCCCATTCTATTCCCTCCCTCCCTCCCTCCCCCCTCCTTCCTTCTCTTCACCCTCCTCCCTCGTCTCCCCTGCTCATCCCCCACCCCTCCTGCCCGAGGACACTTCCTTCCGCCTCTTCCAGCGGGCCGCCGGCGCCGTGCTGTCGCGCGGCTTCTGCATCGGCGGCCGCGGGCCGTTCCTGGTGCCGTTCGCGGACCGCTTCCCCGATCGGGCCGGCGCGCAGGTCGGGCAGAGGCCCAGGCAACAAAAAAGATGGAGGGAGGGAGGGAGGGAGAGAGGAGGGAGGGAGGGGGGGAAGGAGGAGGAGGAAAATGAGGAGCGGAGGCCCAGGCGAGGAGGAGGAGGAGGAGGGGGGGGGGAGGAGGAGGGAGGAGGGGGAGGGGAGGAGGAGGAGGAGGAGGAGGAGGAGGAGGGAGGAGGGAGGAGGAGGAGGAGGAGGATGGAGGAGGAGGAGGAGGAGGGAGGAGGAGGAGGAGGAGGAGAGGAAGGGGGAAGGAGGAGGAGGAGGAGGAGGAGAGCAGGAGGAGGAGGAGGAGGAGGAGGAGAGGAGGGGAGGGGGAGGAGCGGGAGGAGGAGCTCTATCTCCCGCCGCGAGCGTGTCTGGGGGGTGGCGACTAGGGGAATCTTCGAAACGGTTCCAAAATCGTATGGGGCCGATTTTTCGACTATGTCGGACAATGTCTGAATCAGTTTGAAATGTTTCTTGGCTATTTGTTATTAATCGCTTCGCTCATTCCGCCGGCCCATATTGTCGGGGGGCCGTTTTGGGGCCGTTTGGGGGCCTTTTTGGGGCCTCTTGGGGGCTCTTTTGGGCCTCTTGGGCGCCTCTTGGGGCGTCTTGGGGGCCTCTTGGGGGCCTCTTGGGGGCCTCTTGGGGCCTTTTTGGGGCCTCCTGGGCGCCTTCTGGGGCGGAGGGCTCGATTTTTCAGTTCTCGGTTCCCCTCTTGAGCCCCTCTTGGGCCCGTCTTGGGGCCTATTGGTCCGTCTTGGGCGGCACTTGGGCCGTCTTGGGGGCCCTCCTGGGCCGTTCCGGGGCCGTCTTGGGAGCCTCGTGGGCCGTCTTGGAGCGGTCTTGGGGGCCTCTTGGGCCGTCTTGGAGCGTCCGGAAGCCGAAAAAGCCAGAACACAAAAAACATCGAAAAAAACCAATGAAAATCAACGATTTTGGCCTCTTGGGGCTCTCTTCGGAGGCCTCTTGGAAGGCTCTTGGGGCGTCTTGGAGGCCTCTTGGGCTGTCTTGGGGGCCTTTTGGGCCGTCTTGGGGTCATCTTCGGCGTCTTCGAGCGCTCTTTGGGCGTCTCGGGGGCCTCTTGGGCAGTCTTGGGGGCCTCTTGGGGCACTCTGAGCGCGCTCTGGGGAGCCTGAGAGGCCGCACCCAGAAGGAAAACCATCTCTGAGTAGACTTGGTCGGGCGGCGACCGGGCGTTGGTCGGGGTACTTTTCGCCGGGGGACCCCCAGGGGCCGCCCCGCGCGCGCGAACTAGAAATACTGTTAAGACTGTTAACCAGTTACCGGAGATCTTAGCACGCCCTGGCCCGTTGGGCCGGCAAAGTTTATGTTTAGGCAGTTGTCTGCGGCCAAGATATAGCTCCCCAGAATTATACCCCTCCTCCTCTCATCTCAACACGTCTCCTGCCCCCCCCCTCTTTCGCAGTCGTGCCTCGGACCATGACTTGCGAGCCCCCCGCCTGGGCGCTCCCGTCTTGGGCGCCCCGCGGAGACTTTCCAGGAGGGAGTCGCATCTGACCCGGGACCCCCCTTGGGGACCCCCCCCTCCTCGGGACCCCCTTGGGCGTTCGGAAATGGGGGGGCGATAAAGGAGGGGGCGTCGAGGGTTGCACGAAAGGAGCCCTAAAGGGGCCCTAAACGAGCCCCCTAGGGCTCTGAAGGGGTACGAAAGGTGCACGAAAGGTGCACCCTTCTTACCATCCATCGCCCCCACATTAGTGAACGCCCGACCCCCTCCCCATTTCCTGGCGGGGAGGGATCACAGGGAATGTACTTCCTTTCGAGTCAATGACGACGTTGCTCAATTTCGCATTGGTTGGCGCGCTTGACGAGGTGGGCCTAGGGAAGGGGGGGGGAGCGGCGACGGGCCCAGCGTTTGAGGAGGAGGGCCCAGGGAAAGGGGGGGAGCGGCGACGGGCCCAGGGAAAGGGGGGGCGCAGGGAAAGGGGACGACAGAGACGACGACTAACGAATGATTGAGACGACGGCTAGAATGGACATGCCCCTCACACACGCCGCCTCACACACGCCGACAGGGTCGGCGTATTCTTGATGGTTCAAATACTGTGACGGATCGGATGATCAAACAGGGCATCAAACAGAGCAATCATGATGATTAGGTTGGTGCCACTACTGTTAACAGCCGTGCGCATTATAAGTATTTGTTACCACCGCCCAGAGTGATGCTGAACATATTGCGAATGAGGCACCTCGAAATAACTAGTAGTATGAAGGAGTCCTCATGGCCTCTCAGGGGCCTTCTCGGGCGCCCTTCTGGAAGCAGCGAGCCCGTTCCGAGAAGGCAGGGCTTACGAGGTCACCGTTTCCGATTTCTCGGGAGTTGTGGGAACGCCCACGCAGAAACATCGGTTGAGAAATTGAGGAACTTTGCATTGGTCCAGTCGACATTGGCATTCGCAGTGTCCCTGTGCAGGCACCCGTCGTTGTCACTAACCGACGCGTGTTTTGTTGGACACGTTCGGTATCGAAGACGCCTACGGCGAATCACCGCCGCCCCCTGTCTTTTTGGAGTCGCCTATGTGGCCGAACGTTGAGGCCAGACCTCCCAAGTTATCGGACCATGTGTTCCCCG